ATGAGAGGATGTACATAGGTTATATGCAAATACTTAACCATTTCATATAAGGGACTTGAGCATCCCCTGGAGCCCTGGAACCAGTTGCCTGGGAATACCAAGGGACAGTTGTATACACATATGTATAACGACTTTTTTCTTTTTAAAAATTGCCCTAATATGATGAAGAGATTGATCAGTTACCTGAAACAGGCTATAAATGAATACCTTTGAAAAGATTTAGCCAGCCACGGTGGCTCACGCCTGTAATCCCAGCACTTTGGGAGGCTGAGGCGGGTGGATCACGAGGTCAGGAGATCGAGACCATCCTGGACAACATGGCCAAACCCCATCTCTACTAAAAATACAAAAATTAGCTGGGTATGGTGGCACACCCCTGTAGTCCCAGCTACTCAAGAGGCTGAGGCAGAAGAATCGCTTGAACCCGGGAGGCAGAGACTGCAGTAAGCTGAGATCATGTCACTGTACTCCAGCCTGGGCAACAGAGCGAGACTCTGTCTCAAAAAAAAAAAAAGATTGAAAAATTTTGGTGTAGATTTTTTTAAAAAAGTGGTTACAAAACATTGTTTTAAAGTTGGCACTACTTGAATTTTGAAAACATAGGAAAGTTAATTTGGAAATAATACATGAAAAGTTTCAGAAGGTAACCACACTGCATTGTATAAATGTGCAATAATAATGACATGTGGCATATACTAAACAGTTAATAAATCCTTACAACAACCATCTGAGTATTTTTCCTTTTCTTGTATTATAAATGACGAAGCTGAGGAAAGCTAGGTAACTTGTTTAAATGCTTGCAGCTAGTAGAAGGGTGATGCTTCACACTTCAGTCTGACTTCAAAGTTAATGCTTTTAATCTCTTCATTATAGTACCTCTACTTTGTTACTTACGTTGATTTCACAACTTTTAAATCTGAAGTCAGATATAATTAAAGGAAATTTTATGATCAATCTTTAACATATATCACCAGATTAATGATGACTTACCTGCGTGCAATTCAGATAGCTTTGCAGAAACTTGAAGATATCACTTAGTTGTTGTTCTTTTCAGGCAGAACTATTCCCTATCAGTTTTTCTTTTCCTTGTAACCTTCCTTAACATATATTTCTAGGGTCTCATACTTCATATTGTTAGGAAATTATGCTTAATCTCTTTTAATAACTTAAATTTCTATTTACCTGGAGATGGAAAGGGATCATCTTTGACTTAAGCCTTTCATCATTTAAAGAACAGTTTTCAAATAGAAGGTTAGCCAGTCTAACTTATTCTGGAAAGCACTTAATTGTCCAAATTTCAGACTTTGAAGGTAACATAAGATATCGTGGGACAGTCTCAGAGAAAATGATGGAATCTGGCAAAAGGTATTTTTACCATTATTAAAGACAGTTCGATGAGCAGAAGCGGTGAGAGTTCTCAGATGTTTTTCAAGGGGTTTTCTATTTAATTTTTTTTAACTTGAAGAGAAATAAAAGATTACGTGTCTTCTAAAGGATCAACATTTAAAAATCATTTGGAAATGTTTTCAGGAGTTAATACGTTATACATTTGATTATCAGAAACCCAAAATAACCCAAAAAATATAATAAATCTTCCCTCTATATAGGCACACAAGCAACAGTAAAAATTTGTAACCCAAAAATGTATTTATTAAAGAGATGGATGTTTATCAGTTTAATTGCTATTCCGTGGACTGACTTTGTAATTTTAAGGCTGCTTTCTTTCTCTTTGACTTTTTGGTTGCTCTTTATGTACTTTCTAAAATATTAGTTTAAGTTCTGAACCCCTTTGTCCTATCTGAAATAGCGTGTATTTTTCTTAAATACATAACTACAGTGGGGAAGCTCCCTTTTAAATAAATTCTTTTTTTTTTTTTTTTTTTTTTTTTTTTGAGATGGAGTCTTGCTCTGTTACCCAGGCTGGGCTGGAGTACAGTGGCGTGGATTTGGCTTACTGTAACCTCCACCTCCCGGGTTCAAGCGATTGTCTTGCCTCAGCCTCCTGAGTAGCTGGGATTACAGGCATCCACCACCATGTCCAGCTAGTTTTTGTATTTTTAGTAGAGACCGGGTTTCACCATGTTGGCCAGGCTGGTCTCTAACTTCTGACCTCAAGGGATCCGCTCACCTCGGCCTCCCAAAGTGCTGGGATTACATGCATGAGCCACTGCGTCCGGCCTTAAAAAAATTCTTTGTTGACATTTTAAAGCAAAGAATCTTTCTGTAATGTGAATGGTCACTAAAAACTGGGGTTTTCTTTTTCTTTTTCTTTTTTTTTTTTTTTTGAGATTAAGTCTTGCCCAAGCTGGAGTGCAGTGGTGCAATGATGAGCCCTCGAGGCTCAGTCACTTCTCATGCCTCAGCCTCCTGAGTACCTGGGATGACAGCAATGCATCACCATACCCAGCTGATCTTTCAATTTTTTTTAGAGATGGGCTGTCACTAAGTTGCCTAAGCTGGTCTCAAACTCCTGGTCTCAGGGATTTCGTAATTCATATTGCCGTGAAATTATACTTAATTTGTTTTATTTGATAATCACCTAAATTTCTTTCTGTTTGCCTGGAGATGGAAAGTGATCATCTTTCACTTAAGATTTTAAAGAAAGAACAGTTTCCATATAGAAGATTAGCCAGTCTAACTTATTTCAGAAAGTGCTTCATTGTCCAAAGATTGATCCTTCTGCCTTAGCCTCCCAAAGTGCTGGGATTACAGGCTTGAGCCACCATGCCTGGCTTAGGGGATTTCTTAAGGATAGATAGAATTACTATTTACTGGTAGCTGCTTTTAGGTGTCCTTATCTTTTTTAGTTTTGGTTTGGATTTCTGCTTCAGTTCTCCCTCAATAAGCATGACCTGACTCTTTTTGTGTATGACCATGAAAAAGAACAGTGGAGCTAAGAGGAGACTGGCCAAATTGTTGGTCTGAGGTCATTCAGCATTTTAATGGAGTGGATCTCATGACTCTTCAGTTCTTAATGTCATAATTGCTGACCTTTTTCTTTAAATTATTGAACAAAATAAAAATTTTACAGGAGGTACAATCATTTTTTAAACTTCAGATAAGAAAGTGACTTCTGTTTTAGCATATTCAGTTCACAAATTGAATGCTAATTGTGCTTGGTGCTAGGAATCAAAATTAGTAAGAAGCTTTCAGAGCAGGAGCTATGAAACAGTGACGTACTTACTTGATCTACATTATACCTTTTGTTTGATTTGCCAGAAAATAACATTTAAATTTTATAATTTTAAATATTGTTGCCCTAAGTTCAATTTTATACCTAACGAGTAAGAGTTAAAGGGGAATAGAGGCACTGCATCTGTGCTTCCTTCTGCCTTTAGTCTTTACTAATTGAGGTTTCTTTCCTACACCCTCCTCTTTTTAAAATTTCTACTTGCATTTTAAAATGTAATTAATACTACAGCTGTTAGAATGTAAGGGGAAAGTCCCATGTTGAGGAGTATCAACTTTATGAATTTGGTTGGAACAGAATTTTTATTCCAAGAGAAAGGTAATCACTTCTTGGTAGTTAACAATTATTGATAGAATTATAGGTAATGGAACAAGGGAGGAGGTATTTTTGTTTTCTTGCTCCTTTGTTTTTATTCATATTTTGGGGGCACTAGCATTAAATGATGCACTATGCTATTTCTCTACTACCATTGTTCAGAGATTCTCCTTTTTTTTTTTTTTTTGTCTCACTCTGTTTCCCAGGCTGGGGTGCAGTGGCGTGATCTCAGCTCACTGCAAGCTCTGCGTCCCAGGTTCACGCCATTCTCCTGTCTCAGCCTCCTAAGTAGCTGGGACTACAGGCACCTGCCACCGTGCCTGGCTAATTTTTTGTATTTTTAGTAGAGATGGGGTTTCACTGTGTTAGCCAGGATGGTCTCGATCTCCTGACCTCGTGATCTGCCCGCCTTGGCCTCCCAAAGTGCTGGGATTACAGGCGTGAGCCACTGCACCCGTCCGGAGATTCTCCATTTTTTAACTTGGCATTATCTAGATGTCTTTAATTACATTAGTATCTATAAGCCCAGGGTTAAATAGGTAGTTTGGAATCTTAACTGTAGTTGTCATTCTGCTGCCTTAACTAATTTAGTTCTGACAGCAGTGGAGAAATAGAGAAAACCATCCCTGATGGCACTGTGCAAATTATCTTGTATTATTTTCTAATTGATGTATATAAATGGACTTGATAATTTATATAATACATTTAGTATATTTGAGAGCCAGAACTTGCTGTTAATAGAGGAAAGATGAATATGAAAATGAATGGCATAACATAGGAAAACAGGATAAGTACCCATTAGTATTCTTTCTAATAGGTGTCTTTGTTCCTGGATTTCAGGCAAATGATATCCTCTTTTATAAATAGTATGGTAAAAGCTTGCTGAATATTGCTTGTTGGTATGCTTCCTATCTTATTTTCCCTGCCTTCTTTGTCTTTTCAAGCTTAATTCAGGTTGAACATCTCCTCTTCCACCTAAGATACAGAAACAAAGCAAAATTTATAAAATCTTAAAATTAGTATAAGTAGTATTTCTATATTAAGGGTACTCTTATGGCCTTTGAGAGAAGTTTGAAGTGACAGAAAAAACTCTTACTTTGTGCTTGATATAGCCTTTATACATATACTGCTTCTTGTAGGAATTATTAAGAATGAGATAACCTTTATGAAGAAATCTATATGGTATTGGGTAGAATCTTGGTATGCATAGTAAGGCTTTATTTATGAGTTAGAAAATCTTTTGCTAAATAGCAATCTGTTCGGTTAACTGAGTGCTGTACTCAAGCCAAGGATTAGATTGTTAATTTTTCAGGTACATTCTGGCCTACTGCAAATACTGGTGAAGTCTTTAGTGGAAGAAAAATTTCAGGTTTCCAAATTGCCAACGTAGAGAAAATTTCTTCTCTCTTTTTCAAAGAGGAGTCTAGTTCAGGATTTATAGTTTCTTAGTGTCTGTTTTAAATGGCTTTACATTTTTTCCCCTTCTTTTTGACAGGAATCTTTTAGTTCTGCTATACAGCTGCACCTTGTACATCAAGCTCCATGTAATGTTCCTCCTTACCTCTCAAAGAATGAATCAAACCTTGGGGACCTCTTACTGGGCTTTCTTAAATATTATGCTACAGAATTTGAGTAAGTAAAACTTTAAATTGTGTTTGTTCATTTATATATATGTGTGTGTGTATATATATATGTGAATATGAATATATATAAGTGAATGCTACAGATTTGGTCAGAAGCTATATTTGTCATTTCTAGTGCTGTCAAGTTGTCCAGAAATGTATAGTTTATAAAATTTCTTACATGACAGTGAATTATTAGAAGCTTAATAGATTTTATATTCTTAGCTAATAAATACATTCATAGTCCAGTAAGCCCAGTTTTAGTTGATTTCAATAGTGATAGGCCCTATGTGTTGGTCCTGTGCAGGTGCTGTGTAGTTTGGAACATCCATTTTCTGTAAACTTAAAATGTATAGTAAAAAACACTGCTAAGACAGACTAATAAAGATCTGTTTAATACTTGGCATCTTCATAAATAGTTGTGTTAGTATGATATAAAAATCAAGGAATGTGTCGTTTTGTTTTTTCTTTTTTGAAGATGATATGTAAACATGAAACAAAGAATGTATAATCAGGCTGGACAGCACTAAAAGTTCTTATGTGAGTTCTAAGTTCAGATAGAGTGGAGTTAGGAGTTATTTGCAGCTCTTCTGATCAATCTGGAAAAGCTTGAGGGAAGAAGAGAGAAGATTTAGAAATTGTACAGTATTAGAGGCAGGTACAGTTACCACTGTATACCACTTTGAAGAAGTTTGCATAGGGGAATAATAATAGTAATAATAATAATAAATTGCTATTACTAGGTGGGAAAATGGTTCTAAACATATTATATTATTGTTTATATTTATCATTTCATTCCATTTACATAATTATCTGTGTGATATATTATGCCCATTTTACCAGTGAAGCATAGAGAGAGGGGAAGTAACGTGCTCCAAGATCACGTAGCTAATAAGAGTGGTATTTCAGGCTGGGCGCGGTGGCTCACGCCTGTATTCCCAGCACTTTGGGAGGCCGAGGCGGGTGGATTGCCTGAGCTCAGGAGTTCGAGACCAGCCTGACCAACATGGAGAAACCCCGTTTCTACTAAAAAATACAAAATTAGCCAGGTATCGTGGCACATGCCTGTAATCCCAGCTACTTGGGAGGCTGAGGCAGGAGAATCACTTGAACCTGGGAGGTGGAGGTGGCACTGAGCCGAGATTGCGCCATTGCACTCCAGCCTGGGCAACAACAGTGAAACTGTCTCAAAAAAAAAAAAAGAAAAATAGTATTTCAGATAGTTTTGACACAGAATTCACACTTAACTATGATACTTACAAGTATAAAAAGGTAAGAGCTTTTATTTATTTATTTATTTATTTTTTTGAGATGGAGTCTCACTCTGTTGTCTAGGCTGTAGTGCAGTGGCACGATGTTGGCTCACTGCAACCTCCGTCTCCCGGGTTCAAGTGATTCTCCTGCCTCAGCCTCCCGAGTAGCTGGGATTACAGGCACCCGTCACCACACCTGGCTAATTTTTGTATTTTTAGTAGAGATGGAGTTTCACCATATAGGCCAGGCTTGTCTCGAACTCCTGACCTAGTGATCTGCCCGCCTCAGCCTCCCATAGTGCTGGGATTACAGGTGTGAGCCAACGTGCTCAGCCACGGAGCTTTCACTTATATAAAGATGAGGAAACATTAAAGACTGGATGAGACGTAGTACATAAATGGACTGTAAAGGTTTAATGGTTATTCTAGAGTTCTCTTTAAGATATTGCAATAACAATAGCTAATGTTTAGTGAGAATTTATCTAGTGTCCTGTAGTAAGCTGAGTGATTCCCATGGATTTCAGTTAATCCTCACAATAACCTCTGTCAAGCTTAGGGAATTTGTGTACATGAAACTTGTCCATGGCAATCTACAGCTAGATTGTGGGTGAGTTGGGATTCACTTTCAAGCTGGACTCCAAGACTACATTCTTAATTGTTAGACTGTATTGACATTGTTTATTATGTTATATAAATTAGGGACTGGGGGATGTTTGTGGAGGGGGAAAGGATTCACAGAAGAAAGATTTATTTCTCCTATGTATAGTGTAGGATTAGAGCATCTGTATACAAATACCTTGAAAATCACCTGCTTTGTTGAACAGAAACAAGATAGTAGATGTGTAGGTTTGTATGTTAATTTAATATTAAAGGAAACTAGTCTGCTGGGTCACATGATGCTGATGCTTGGAAAGAGGTTTCAGAGCTTCACCATATAGTACATTTGTCATTTCATATGAGATATTTTCAGAAATGTGACTGTGGGGATCACAGCCAAGAATGTAGTCATGGTAATAAACTGGATGCTGTATAAAAGAATTATGGCAATTGTTAAAAATGTCAATAAGGATTTCTTCTGAACTTCGAGGTAATCATTTAAAAGGTTCTTTTTTCTTTTTCTTTTCTTTTCTTTTCTTTTTTTTTTTTTTTTTTTGAGACAGAGTCTTGCTCTGTTGCCCAGGCTGGAGTGCAGGCAGTGGTGCGATCTCAGCTCACTGCAACCTCCGCCTCCTGGGTTCAAGGAGTTCTCCTGCCTCAGCCTCCCGAGTAGCTGGGATTCCAGGCGCATGCCACCGTGCCCGGCTAATTTTTTTTATTTTTTATTTTTTAATAGAGATGGGGTTTCACCATATTGGCCAGGCTGGTCTTAAACTCCTGAGGTCAAGTTATCCACCCACCTCAGCCTCCAAAACTGCTAGGATTACAGGTGTGAGCCACTGCGCCTAACCTAAAGTTCTTTTTTCTGAAAGACAAAACATTAAGTGACTGTTAAGGGATGGTTGAGTATATGGTATAAATGTTGCAGAAGTTTTATATGGTCATTTAAAAATTACTATTTTTTGGCTGGGTATGGTGGCTCATGTCTGTAATCCCAGCACTTTGAGAGGCCATGGAGGGGAGATCACTTGAGCCCAGAAGTTTGAGACCAGCCTGGGCAACATGAACATGGCAAAACCTCCTCTCTACTAAAAATACAAAAATTAGCCAGGCGTGGTGGCACATGCCTGTAATCCCAGCTACTTGGGAGGCTGAGGCACAGGAATCGCTTGAACCAGGGAGGCGGGGGTTACAGTGAGCTGAGATTGCTCCACTGCACTCCAGCCTGGACAATAGAGCGAGACCCTGTCTCAAAAAAAAAAAAAAATTACTACTTTTCTTACCTACTTCACTCACACCTTGCTGCTGAAATACTTCTGTTTTATTTTTTACTTTTTGTGGGTACATAGTAGGTTTGTATATTTATAGGGTATGTGAGATATTTTGATATAGGCCTACAGTGCATAATAATCACATCAGGGTAAATTGGGTATCCATCACCTCAAGCATTTATCGTTTTCATTACAAACAATTCAGTTCTCCTGTTTTAGTTATTTTTAAATGTACAATTAAATTATTATTGACTATAGTCACCCAGTTGTGTTATCAAATATATATCTTATTCGTTCTATTTTCTTGTAGTCATTAACCATCCCCACTTGCCCCTCTCCCTGCTACCGGTCTTCCCAGCCTCTGGTAACCATCATTCTAGTCTCTTATCTCCATGAGTTCAGTTGTTTTAATTTTTAGATCCTGCAGATAACTGAGAACATGTGAAGTTTGTCTTTCTGTGTCTGGCTTATTTCACTTAATGTCCTCCATTTCCATCCATGATGTTGCAGATGACAGGATCTCATTCTTTTGTATGGCTCAATAGTACTCTGTTGTGTATAAGTACCACATTTTATTTATCCATTCCTCTGTTGATGGACACTTAAGTTCCTTCTAAATTTTGGCTATTGGGAATAGTGTTACAAAAACATGGGAGTGCAGATATGTCTTCAGTATCCTGATTTTCTTTCATTTGGGTATACGCCTAGGAGTGAGATTGCTGGATCACATGGTAGTTCTACTTTTAGTTTTGGAGAAGCCTCCAAACTGTTCTTCATAGTGGTTGTACTAATTTACATTCCCACCAACAGGGTATGAGGGTTTCCTTGCTAGCATTCATTGTTGCCTGTCTTTTGGATAAAAGCCATTTTAAGTGGGCTGAGATGACACCTCATTTTACTTTTGATTTGCCTAAGTCTGATGATCAGTGATGTTGAGCACCTTTTCATATACCTGTTTGTTCTTTGTGTGCCTTCTTTTGAGAAATGTCTGTTGAGATCTTCTGTCCGTGTTGTAATTGAATTATTAGATTTTTTCCTATAGAGTTGTTTAAACTCCTTATATATTCTGGCTATTAATCCCTTGTGAGATGAATAGTTTGCAAATATTTTCTCTCATTCTGTGGGTTTGTCTCCTCACTTTGTTGATTGTTTGCTGTGCAGAAGCTTTTTAAATTGATGTGATCCTATTTGTCCATTTGCTTTGGTTGCCTGTGCTTGTGGAGTATTACTTAAGAAACCTTTGCCCAGACCAATGTCCTGGAGAGTTTCCCCAGTGTTTTCTTGTGGTGGTTTCATAATTTGAGGTCTTAGATTGAAGTCTTCAATCCATTTTGGTTTGATTTTTGTCTATGTCGAGAGATAGGGTTCTAGTTTCATTCTTCTGCATATGGATATCAAGTTTTCCCAGCACTCTTTATTGAAGAGACTCTGCTTTCCCTAGCGTATGTTCTTGGCACCTTTGTTGAAAATGAGTTCACTGTAGGTGTATGGATTTATTTTGGTGTTCTTTATTCTGCTCCATCGGTCTGTGTGTCTGTTTTTATGCCAATCCCATGCTGGCTTGGTTGCAGCTTTACTGAATTTGTTTATCATTTTAAGATTGAGATAACTTCAAGATATTCAAGTGGAGATATTGAGTAGACAGTTGGATATATAAGCCTAGAATCAGGAGACAGGCCACAGAGCTAAATATTTGGGAGTTGTCACCAGGTAGATGGTATTTAAAGCTATGAAACTCTTTGAAAAAAATCAAGGGAGTGAATATATAGATGGAAAAGAGAAAACAGCCAAGCATTGGGTACTCCAATGTTAAGAAGTTTACAGGAAATGCAGGGGATAAAGGAATATGTATTGTTAAATGACACAATAAACAGACAGACAAATACAGA